TGTTTTGTGTGTGTCTTGCTCCCCATGTGCCTTCCTATGCCCATATTTGGTTAGTTTCCTGTTCCTTTCCTGATTAGGTTGATTTAATTCCAGGTGTTCCCCGTTTTGTCTATTGATCCCAGGTGTGTCGCGTCCTCTCCTCATCCTGTCATGTGTTTAAATAGTGTTCCCTGTCTTTAGTTCAGCATCCGGTATTGTTCATGTCTTCATGTATAGCGTGAGTGTTCCTTTGTGTCAATTAAACCCATTTGGATTGATGTACTCCTCGTCTCTCTCTGTTCCTTGCTCCTCACTCCGCTCAGCAGTGCACTCGTGACACATGTCAGGTCACTTATAATTATTACAAGGATTTACAATTATTATAAGAAAGATTATCATCTCTATGATTCGCTTGAAAAGCAAATTGTGGATGTTTTCAAGATCGATCATATTATAAAATTGTCAGATCACCCTAACTTACAGTATAAATATGAAAAACAAGAAGATACTGCTGGTTTAAAAAATATAACTCTTACTTCTAGTATCATAGACATGTTCAAAATATGAAACATTGTTTTCGATTCAGGTCTCACACATTATAAATAAAGATGTAAGAAATCAAAATGCTGTAATAAATAAATTTTATTTTTTAGGTCATGGTCCATTTTCCCATGTATTTGATTGTCTGGTTATTCCTGAAGCCAAAAAAATAAAAAAAATAAGAGGTAAGTGCCAGTGTGAAATTATGTAAATAAACGGGAAAAATATGCAGATATGCAAATTTCTTGAGTCTTTATTACATTTGGACTTGCAGCTGTTGTATTTGCATTTGGACATGATGTATTCAAGCTGTTGTATTTGTACATCTGGTAAATGTATCTGAAATATTTTGTTAACATACAAAATATGACTTGCAAACCACCTGAGAGCTGATTCTTTTTCTTAGGTCTGCCTGATGACATCCCTGAAAAGTGGAAGGTGAGCTTGGGGTCATCAAAAATATTGTGTTTCATAATGTATATTAGTTAAAAAAAAAAGTGAATTCCATCACATTTGCAAGGTTTCTGATTCTGGCTGTAAATAAACAATGAAAACAAATTGATGCATTTTGCGTTCATGTCATTACTTCATTTTATATGTGTTATGATGTCAAGGAACTTATCAATATCATAATTGTTCCTACAATGACATCCTCATGCACCCCAATGGAGTTCAGCTCAGCAATGAATCTGTACTATATATCTTTATGATTTCATCTGTCTTTGTGTCTTTACTGCAGCATGAGCAGATGTCAGTTCAGATGTTTGATGACATTGTGAAGCGTCTGAAGGCTGAGAATGAAGACGTGTTGAAAGAACATGGACTGGATGATAAAGACATCACCTTCATTAAAGAGTTAATCGAAGGGGCAAAAACATCAGAGGTACAAACTGATACTCCAGGTCAGGGATGAAACTCTGGTCTGACAGGTGCGGGGACCAAAACTGAGTGTTGGGTAATAGTAAATTTTAATTTAATTTATAACATACCATTTTAATATTAAAATTATTATTAAAGTAAAATTAATATGAAGAGAGGGGAAACAAATTGAATAGAAAAAACAAGTTTTGAAGAGAGAGAGAGAGAGAGAGAGAGATGTTTAGGTTCAGGAAGGATCTACAGTAAGTCTGTATCATCAATATATCTTTTTTTTTTTTTTCACGTTGCGGTTCAGGGCTTCCATGTTACGGATAACAAAATGTGCAAAAAGTATATTTGAAATATATTCAAATTTTATGAATATATACATTCATTCTGATTCAGAATTTGACTTGCCCTGACAAAATTGCCATTAGCCCTGCCACAAAAAAAAGTTGTTCTCATTGATTTTGACCCATGCAACCTTAATGTTAAATCAAGACAAGTAAACAGTCAGTAATAAAATAAGGACAAATGAACAAATTACTAGCAATAACTCAAATAAATACAACAGAACAAAGATACAAATAAACAGTGCTTGAAGTTTTTCAGGTAGGCTTGGCAGTAGAATTTTGGGATGAAATGGGTATAAATTTAATATAGATTGATCCTTATTAAAGCCAAATAAGTTATTAGCAAGAGCAGATGTCCTTAATTAACATGAACGACAAAGGCAGCAGCAGGTATATTTAGCTGCTGCCACTCAAAGACCAAATGCAGGAATCTGATACACAACCGTTTACATCTGCTCCAGGTTACTAAAACAGATTGACTTACAGCCTTCAATGAAAAAGTTAAAGTGAAACAGATATTGCTTTTCTTTTCAGTGGACATATGAAGGCAGAGATGAAGAAAAATCCTTCCTGTATGAGATTGTGGCAAATAAACAGAATGGAATTGATGTAGACAAATGGGACTATTTTGCACGGTAAATATTATCCATTTTGTAAGGATGCTGTCATGATCTAGCGTCTATTTGAACTTTTTGAGCCAATCACCTTAGTCATAGATGTCATGTGACTAGTGACTGTAGAGCTGCATGAAATTGGCACTGACAACAATGACAAGAACAATCTAAAATCTTCACTAGTGACTATCCTGAGCTGTGACATATTGTTATGATTTGTATGTATTAGTGATGCAAAGTCCGATTCATTTCCGTGCACCGGTTCTTTTCGGACAGTTCGGCTCATTGAACTGGATCAAAAAGCCGATTCATCGGTTCCTGACGTCATCAAGCAATGATGTCACTACGCATTTCTTTTCTAACAACTCAGGGCCATATTGTGTCAATGAAACATTCAAATAAGTAATTTGTGTCATCACATATTGAAACATTCAACTAAAAAGTTATTTATGTGAATGCATATAGCAGATTATTGCCTTTCATTCACTTAAGTTAATGGTGTTAGTGGTCACGGTTTCATTCGCGGATCCTTTATGTCAGATATGACTGACCAGTATTGACTAACCTAGAACTTGGATAAGATTCCTAAAAGTTTCGCACCTACAGCACACATTACAGACACTGATATGTTCTACATGTCTAAAGTAAAGAAACAATAAACCAGTCTTATAAACTCCTTGATTTCGCTTAAACAACTTAAAATATGATCAACATGCACAATAAACAGTGTTAAAATTCAGGTTTTTCGATGTTTTAATAAAATTCCAGGGCTTTTTAATAAAACGATTCATAAGCATATCTCCAGTAGCCTATGTTTTGCTTGTTATAAAGAAGCAGCCAGAGACTCACCGCGCCTTCAAAAAAATCCAACTGAAGTGCGTGGACCAAAAAAGGTTACCCAAAGATGAAGAGCTTGAAAAGAGTCCGCACATTCAAACATTAAAGCATCACAAGCGAGATGAGAACATTATATGCATTTTACTGAATAAAACAGGCAAACGTTTCGGTCACATGTTGACCATTTTCAATGCCAAGCTAACAGTGTTAGAACTAGAAGCCATCTTAATTTGAGGAATCACATGATAATTAAAGAGATCACATGATCAATCAGGACACACACAGATAAAAAAAAAAGCCACAATGTGTGTATATGTAGATCAATGGATAATCTACATAAAATTAGAGAACAATGGTTGTCTGTTGGAGTTTACAAAAGTACTATTCATAAAAAAACAAGACAATTGAAGTTCTTCATTTAATCCCTTCGGATATACACAGTCCATATAATAGATCCACTTAGCTTCACATTGTAACAGTCTTTTGTTAGAATCACCACCTCTTCTTGAACTGATCAATCTCTGAATACCTGTAAATCTCATATCACTAAGTTTATGGTCAGCATCCACAAAATGTCTGGCTACAGGAGAATGAATGTCCATCCTTCTAATAGAGCTCCTGTGCTCCTGTTTTTTTTTTTTTTGATCTGTGTGTGTCCTGATTGATCATGTGATCTCTTTAATTATCATGTGATTCCTCAAATTAAGATGGCTTCTAGTTCTAACACTGTTAGCTTGGCATTGAAAATGGTCAACATGTGACCGAAACGTTTGCCTTGATTCTTTCAGTAAATTGCTTCTATTGTTCTCATCTCGCTTGCTTGTTATAAAGAAACTTCACACATCAAGCTCGTTCAAGTCCTCGGTGATACACACGCAGTGCAACACTCGTCAGAATCCTCGGCAATCCTTGGCAAACCTTGACAGTTGGTTAAACTGTGAGTCTGACGTGCTACTTCGGCTGTGCGTCCTGCGTCATCAACCCAGAACCGGCTCAAAAGAACGATTCGTTCAAGAATCGAACATGACTAGTATTTACTGAAAGCTCAAATTGAACCTTGTCTTATTCTCTTGTTACAGTAGGTCAGTGTGAAATAAAAACAATAGATCAAACACAAACCAGATCCAAGCAGACATGAAGTCATTTGTGTCTCAATTTTGTTTTCATATTTAATACTTAATTTTGCAGAGACTGTCATCACCTCGGCATCCGAAACAGTTTTGATCATCAGCGTCTGCTGAAGTTTGCTCGAGTCTGTGAAGTGAACGGGAGAAATCTCATCTGCTTCAGAGACAAGGTGCCTGATTCAATTATCACTCTATTATTTATAACTAAACAGACCCATACTACAAATATGACATGTTGAGTCATTTGACTCATTGTATTCAAGATTCAAGTTTTAAACCTTCAGATAATGTTAGAGATACTGTTAGTTAGTTTGTTTCTATTTATTTATAGACGGTTTCATTGGACGCACGTGCCTGGCCCGAAGTTAGTTAGTGGCTAGTAATACGGCGCCCACTACAAACGCAGTTAAAGTTAAGGTGATGAGTAGACTGAAGTTGGGCTCAGTTTTTTGTGCTGTGGGATGCAACCCAATGTTTCCCATACATTGATTTATTTGTGGCAACCCGCCACAATATCAGAACCTACCGTCACAAATATATTTTCCAAAAGGCTTTGACGTTGTTGAATAAACATGAGCACTGCACGTTTCAAAATCAAAATGTGGTGCGAGTGTTTTTATATCACTGTACCTCTGAAGGAAATCGACTGTCTTCAGAAAATTGTCGATGTCCTTTTCATTTAATCTTGCCTGATAAAGCAGCGTTTGTGAGCACAGTGCTGCTTTGTGTACAGCCGTTATTGGGGAAACCACTGTTTCTGGATCACCGCTGTGTGAAGAGAGACTTGGCAGCCAGGCTAGACATAGTTTTAACTTGCTAGCTAATGCAATGTACTTATTTATTGTGCTTGTTATCAGAAATAATCCACCCTAGAGGGACTCTGTTGTTATTGATTCTTTGCTGAAGTCTACCGGAAGTTAAGTTTGGGCCAAAAAATCGCACATGGGCAGTTACGTTTGTTTATGTTGCCATTGAAACCATCTTATAAGGACAATCACATGAATTAAGAGTTCTGCAAATGCACCAATACTAGCTGGCTAATTTACAACTGTAGACATTTGGCTAGATGTTAAAACAACCACAACAACAAAGATTTACATATATTAGGGTAAATAAATATTAAAAAAAGAAAACTCCTAACTGTGGACAATGAACATGGGAAATATCAGCAGCAAATAAACATACTAATTAATTAAAATGAATTAACAATAATATTGAATAAAAATGCCATTTCTGATCATTCAAAAGCTGATTCCATGTATAAATACTGTAGAAAGTATTGTTTCTTATTTCAATTTGTATGAATGGGTTTAAAGCATCATTTAAAGCATGTTTTGTCTTCCAAGATACCAATTTTTTATTTATTTTTTTGCCAAATTTGAGCCAAACGTGCATCCTTTACCAAGAAAGTAATACTTAAATGCATTGTTACAAGCTCTGAAAAAAAAAATCCAAGATGGTGGATGAAATCAAAGAAAAGTTGACTGCAAGTGAGCTTAAGTTCCAGGAGTGAAGTTTATCGATTAAAATGAAAAAAAAAAAAAAAAAAAAAAAACTTAAGGAATGTTTGCCTGAGTGGAACTACACAATCCCCTCTTAGATCAGATCTAGTAGGTCTGTAAGTAAGATCATTTTGTTTAATAAAAGTAAGTGGTGGAGGTGCCTGACCATTCAAGAGCTTAAACAACAGGCAGGCATTCAACAGTGTACGTCAGGGTTGGCCAACCTCAGTCCTGGAGAGCCACAGTCCTGCAGACTTCAGCTCCAACCCTAATCAAACACACCTGAACAAGCTAATCAAGGTCTAAGGGTTACTAACCCTGCGTTCCATTCGGAAGGGCTCATCCCTACGCCCTAATCCCTTCAAAGGGTTTACCCTCCGGAGTGAGAGTTTCGAAGGGTTGAAGGGTGTTGGCGACCAAACAACTGTTTCTTAAAGTGCCCTTCTGCGTCATCATCCCATTCCCACATGGAGGCGCCGTCATCATGCAAAGAATCTGCGCAAAGGATCATGGGAACCCGAAGTGTCCATCAGTTGTACCCTTCGAAATCCTTCATTCTGAAGGGCCCTTTGAAGTGGCCAGTTTTGAGCACTTCGGTTTGGGACGACCCTTCAATATGGCGGCCATGATTGTTTTCACTCTGAAGTGCCCTTCGGAGGGCGATATATCCCATTTGGAATGCACCGCAGAAGCAGCAGGAAGGTGAGTTTGTATCAAGGTTGGAACAAAACTGCAGGACTGTGGCTCTCCAGGACCGGCGTTGGCCACCCCTGGTGTATACGTGATAAGATTTTCCCAACTTAAGATGTTAGCCTATATTTTAGAAGAATATTACAGCGGTGTTAAGAGTTAGGTTTTCTGCTCTGCTAATATAGAGAAATAATCAACTTTGATGTTTTGCCTTTTGTTTGAGTCCAGCTTATCATACAGTATTTTAAATGAGGAAAGAGCATTGCATTCACATATACGATTTCTGCTGATGTTATTAGGAAATTTCTTATAAATCTAAAATCGGCCACTGCAGATTAAAATTACTTTCAGTGGCACACCATATTGCCCCCCCCCCTCTCATTTTTTTCATGTAGTACTTTATTTATTCTGTGGAACACAAAAGAAGATATTTTCAAGGGGTTTCAGTTCTTTCGGTCCATACAAAGTCAGTGAGGTCAAAACAACATTGGTGGCCTCTGACTTTCATTCCATGGACAATAAACACTTTAGGCACTTTAAATAGCTTTTTTTGTGTGTGTTCAACTAAATCATAATAATGTTGAATGTGAGGACTGGATTGTGGGATCTCTGATAGACTGATGTTTGTGTGTCTCACAGGAGGCTGATAATGTTTATGACATGTTTCGCACCCGATACACTCTCCATCGCCAGGCCTATCAGCACAAGATCTGCAACATCATCGAAGACATGTGAGCTTCTCTGTTTGTAGTGAAGGGGATATGTGTGTCTCTGATTGTACAATAAAAAAGTCTATACGTACAAGTTTAAAACACTAACTTGCATTTCTCTGTTAGGTTTGCAGAAGCTCTCGTACAAGCTGATCGTGATCTTCATGAAAGAAAACCTGAAGATATGCTGAAGATTTCTGAAGCCATAAAGACAGCAGAGGACTACAGCAAACTCACAGGTCAGCTGAAAACAGATACAAAAAATAAATACATAAACTAAACTGAAAGGTAAAATATATAGCATAAACTGAAAGGTAAAATATATAGCATATTACAATATATCTATATAACCATTTGTAATTATATGTCTCAGAACATAGTGTTTATAAAATAATACATTATTTGCAAATGACATATTGGCAGAAAAAAACAACAACAAACTTTTTTGCTAATAAATCTTCTATTCTTCCGTCAGATGAGATCTTTGAGCAGATCTCGTCCTCCACGTCTGATAACCTGAAGGAATCTCGAGACATCTTGAACAAGATCGTCAGAAGAAAACTGCCAAAGTTTGTTGGAGAAGCTCGACTGACTGAGAAAAACATCTCAAAGGTTTGACAGAAAATGAAAAACGTTGTTTGACTGTTCGACTGATATTAGCAATATTCAAAGGACATGTGACTTTAAGGCAGTATTTATTACACAATCCAGTAACTGACTGACTCTCTCGAATCAGGAAGAGCTGAAGAAAACATGGAAAGCTGCAGTACAGAAGTACAAACCTACAGACCACACTGTTTCTCTGAACGCTGACGATTTACCAGTTTATGTAAGTTATACTGTATGTATATACCAAAAACTTTATCTCTGCCTTCATATCTTCAAAAATAATTTAATCTCCTTTTACTCAGGTGGTTGATCTGGATCATGGCATGAAGGAACAAAACCCCATTGAAAACGTCTATTTCTACAGCAAGAGGAAACCCAAGGAAGCTTCTGCCATTAAGGATTATCAGGTACCGTCACACTTAAACCAATTATATTTCAGATCACTGCAGAATTTCCCAGATAAGAAATAGAAGTATTTCCATAATAAAATAGGTGCCATTCATTCTGTACTTTTGGTAAACAAAATGGAGTCTAGAGTGTTTGCTTGTTTACTACATTAGCAAGATTAAAAAAACTCATTGTGTGTGATCGGTCTTCTGCTGTCAGCTGTCCAGTTTCCTGCCAAAGAGGTTTAATGAAGAGCTGGTCAGAGTTTACTACAAAAGAACTGATGGGAATAAAGAGGAGGAGATGAAGAAGGTGGAGGAGGCTGAGAAGTGCTTTCAGATCTGGTGTGCCTCCAGTTTTGGACTCCGTTAATGTGCATATGGTTTATAATATATGATATTTGAATCACAATCAGTACTGTGTCTGTAGTTGTTGTGATACAGATTTCCTTCTGCTGTACATTAGAGGTTTAATGACTAAACTACAGGGAATAACCCTGTTGAAATTGGAAAGATTGATTCATGGTTCAGTGATTATAACTCAAAAAAAAAAAAAATTCTACTTGAAATTTAATTACTTGAATTTTAAAATATTAAGGAGACTAGTAAAGGGGATCAGTGATCTAAAACAATTTGATTCAGACATCACTCTGCATGTAGCGAGAGACCTTAAAAACCCATTCTTCTAACATATCTAATAATAAGAACTTTATTTATTTGTATTAACAAATAAATAACTATTTAACGACAATTTTGCATCATCATTAAGTATTGTTTACTGTATGTGTAAATTATAATCAATCCACATCTTTAACATATACATAAAAATGAATGACCTGCAAAATATTATAATTGAGTATAAAATGCAGTCAAATACACAAATAAAATACACATTTTAGTGCTACTTGTGTTAAGAATGAAATGCATTACTCGTTCAATTATTTAGGACACAACATGAACATCAATGATGCTCAAACGTTTATTTAAAGTAGCATTTTACATTTATTCATTTAGCAGATGCTTTTATGTAAAGCATACAAATGAGGGACATCAGAAGTAATTTGTCATTTTGAACATTTTTAAACAAAGCTCTTTTGTTTCCCCTGCAAATGTCTTATTCATCTGCAAAGCAAATGCAGATTATACTCCGAATTCCTGTCACTATGTAGATATGCTTCACAAAAGAATAGGGCCTATATAAAATATCTATTATATTTGATCTTTCCAACAGTCAATAATGAGACAGTGATTACATGTTTGGGAATGACAGCTGCATTTAAATCAAGGTTTGAAATTATTGATCTGTGTGCTTGTGTGTGTGTGTGTGAGAGAGAGAGAGACATTATTGGGGGTAAAACATACAATATTATAAAAACAATGTATTCAAACAATCAATGTGCAATTAAAATTGGAAATAAACGCACAGAATTCTTCACTCAAGGGCGGGGTGTGAGGCAGGGCTGTCCACTATCACAGACCCTCTTCAATATCTACATTAATGAATTGGCGAAACTCCTGGAACAATCAGCAGCACCTGGCCTCACACTGCATGACTCCAACATAAAGCTCTTGCTGTTTGCAGATGATCTGGTTCTGCTGTCTCCAACAGAAGAGGGTCTACAGCAGAGCCTAGACATCCTGCACAAGTTCTGTCAGACCTGGGCCCTGACGATTAATCCTAACAAAACTAAAGTACTAACATTCCAGAAAAGACCCAGAGTTCAGGGACAGAGACATAACTTCACCCCAAATTTGAAATACTTCACCCTAACTTAAAAATGTTAAACAAGAAAACACAACTTCAATATTTATTAGGTGAAAAACAAGATTGTATCTTACTAGCAGCAAGATACATTGATGCCTGTCACAAAAAGAGGGAGGAGTCAACAAATCAGTGATGCGCCCACAGACACACACAAACACACACACCACAAACACACACCAACACCACAAACACACACCACACACACCACATTGAATTATAAATTGTTCGTAGAATTCTAAAATGTTAATTTGCTTTAATTTTTAAATGTATATACATGCATGTTTTGTTGCATATATATCTGTTCTAGATTCAATGTAAACACTATGCTTTTAGCAATACGTTGTAACAATTGTCATGCCAATAAAGCACATATTGAATTTGAATTTGACAGAGAGAGAGAGAGAGAGAGAGAACTGGATCCACTGGATTCACTTGTATTAAAACACTGAATGTTTTTCATTGTTCCTGTAAACACTTATCTAAAAAAAACACACACACACAAGAACAGTTTACTATATGAGAAACAGAATAGAACAAAATAGTCTACTGAAACATCTACTTGTTAAAAAAATAAAAAAATAAAATGAAGAAACATAAACTTTAAATATAAACTACTGTATACTTTGGTTATTTAACATTGTATAAAGTTATTGGGATGCCATCCAATTCGCTTTATAAGGTCTGTGAATTTTATTCATTATCAATTAGCACACAACCTGCATTTTCATGACTCATCTAAAACATATATAAAACATTTCTACTCCTCACACCTTACTCAATTTATGGAGGTTAAAAGAGTCAAAGAGCATGTTCGTTTACATTTACATGTATATATGCATTCATTCAATTTTTAGCCAAAGTGACTTACAAATGAGGACAAAAGCAAACACCAGTGATTCAACAAAAAGGAAAATAAACATTTTAGGTGCTGCAGTATGAGGTTACAGAAGCTCCAATTAATACAGATACATATATTAAACAACAGTACTGTACAAAATACACATTAGATGCTTCACTTTTATCTTTTGCACAATACGTTTTTTTTTTTTTTCTTAACCAAAATATATACACTGTAAAAAATGATCGTGATTTTAACTGTAAAAGACTGTAGAAATGCTACAGTAAAAACCTGTTAAATGAATTACAGTAAGTTTCCTTACAATATACGGTCAATAACTAATAGATCTAACCTTTGTTTTCGAGAAAGTAGCCTCAGAGTCAACACTCAGACTGTGTCTGAAATCACACCCTACACTCATGCACTATTCCCTACATTAGTTCACTATATAGTCCACTAGACCGAGTGATTGAAAACAAATGAGTGAATTCAGACACTGATGAACAGCTGCTGACTGTGTCTGAAATCACACCCTACACCCTCATTCACTATTCCCTACATGAGTTTACTAATAGAGTCCACCTGACAGAGAGAATGAACACTAATGAGTGAATTCAGTCAATGATGAACAGCTGCTGTTAACGAGCAGAATCACTGAAGAAAAGAGCAAGAAATGAAACTACACCTGACTTCAGCCACAGCCTTAAATGAAATCAACTGAAATAAAACAGCAGAGGAGGATTACACAACTCCACAAACAGCATTACCAGCTTCACTCATTACTAACCAGACTCACTTTATTTCTGTCATATATCTACAAAAATTATTTGAGAATTAACAGAGGTTTATATTGTATTGAAAGTGTTTTGTTTGGTCTCACCATTTTGGCGATCAGTGGTTGCTTTAGTTGGGCTCTTGATCCTTGCCTCTTTAATGTTAGTTTTTCTCTGCTATTGTATCTGTGTATGTAAAGGACATTTGTTATAAGAAGAGCCGAGAGAAATTGTAATGAAGTGGTTCTGAAAACTGTTGATGATGATGTTTTTTTGGATTAGCTTTTATTTGTGCATATTGTGCTTTGGAATGTTTCACAATGATTGGGGTTAGTATCAGTGGTGCAATTCAAGAGTATTAGTAATACATCACACACTTAATAAGAGATTAAACATTAGGTGAGATCAGTGAATCAGACTAGTTCATGATGGTCTTTACATCACAAACACCAGTTTTATTTAACCATAGATTTTTTTTCTTGCTATAAACACTGTGTTAAATAAACACAGCCAATTAAAACAACCAAAGGAAACTATTTTTAAAAAGTCAAGGTTCAAGAGCCCAACTAACGCAAACACTGATCACCATCATGGTGACTTCAAATGGAGATATTCCAAAGTCTCAGCTTTCAAAATCTGTCAGTTTTATAGAGAAATACAAACAATATATTACAATGATGTGTTTTTATTCACGCTCTTTATTGTGGCGTGACAGATCGCTGTATTCACTTCAGTTTAAGCGGCATGTGAGTCTTTCCGATTACAATAATGAGACATTATTTTCATTATAAATTAAACTATACTGTTTTTGCATGCCTTCTGATGTTCTTTCAGTTTTATATCTTGCTATAAACTTGAAATAAAGAAGAAAAACACATTTATAATTTGTATTTCGTGATAAAACTATCAGAATTAGAAAGCTGAGCTGTGTTATATTAAAAGCAACAGAGCACAAAATTATTGCGATTACTTGGTGGCTGGCGTGCTACAAATAATGAACGGACGATGTTAAATATTATGTCCAATCATTTACTGTATTATATCATGAATAAAACAGCTTGTGAATATTCACTTACATGTTATAGCCTACAGGCTACCTCAGAAAAGAAAACAATATAACTTATGTTAACGAGTTGGAGCCCACTTCAACTTTTAGAATGTTTTATTAATTAAATAGGCTACATGTGAGGAATAAAAGTTTGGACGCCACAGACGTTTTTGCGGAGTAGGTGGTGGAATTTTATTTTAGATTTTAGAAAACAGTATAATTTAATGAATTGGTTCACATAAATACAGCGATCTGATCATTAAAGAGCTTGAAAAACACATTATTGTAAGACACATAATTTGTGTTTCGTTATAAAATTGATTTTGAAAGCTGAGACTTATATTAAAAGTAGGCCTACCAAAAGCACACATCTTATATTGGGTGGCTGGCGCACTACAAATAACGAATGCAATGGAAGACATGAAATATTATTTCCAAGCATACTGTCCCCGCGAGTATGATTTATGGTGTGATTTCTGGTAATAATCCCACATATATTTGTAGTGTATTAAAAAAGGAGAGCTTAAATAAGAGAGCTACAGCACCCCCCAAAGGAATGTCGATTGGGTGTGTGAGCTGATGTTAAGATAAAAAGTTATTCCTGTTCAGTCTGTTAATAAATTTCATATTCTTGATATTAAGCTGTTCCCGCGAGTCCTTAAAATCGACTCTTCCTCATCCCAGTAAGATGATGCGGCCGCTCGGACACAACAATATTCAAATCAATCCCGGTAGCCTTCTTCCGTGCTCTCAATCCGGGACATTTGCATGCGCATTAATACTCTCAAAATATTATAACTTTAATTTCTACGATTTAAATTCTCGAAACATTTCGACTTTATTCTTGTAGTATTTCGACTTTATTCTTCCAGTATTTCGACTTTATTCTCGAAACATTTCGACTTTATTCTTGTAGTATTTCGACTTTATTCTTGAAACATTTCGATTTTATTCTCGTTATATTTCGACTTTATTCTCGTAATATTTCGACTTTATTCTCGAAATATTATGACTTTAATCTCGTAATCAAATATTTTTAATTTTTTTTACATGGCACTAAACGCCGTCGTAAGATCAAATGTTATTTACTGAAAATTAGAAGTGAAAGTGAAAGTGTGTATGAATGGAAATAGAAACAGCTCATCTGTTCCTGCACTAAACAGAAGAACCAGAACCACTGGGCTCACTGCATTAAAACACTCGATGTTTTTCATAAACCTTGTGAACAAGAAACCAAGCCTTGTGTGTTTAATCTTCCTCGGGAGAATATTTGATGAGGGTGTTGGTTGCTAAAAGTCCAGAAGAAAAGACAACTAAACACAAAGACTGAATAACTCGCAGAACCTAGTGAGCTACTGTAACTAAGTGCAACAGAGTTAAGCTTTACTGCAGTGCCTGTGTTGTGCCAAATTCTGCACCCCTGCCAGATTATGCACCCCCTCGTTGAAGTCGCTACCTGATTGCCTAATCCCCACCCCTAATCCTAACCCCTCCCCCACACCTAACCCTAAGCCTACCAATACTAGGGGGTGCATAATCTGGCAGGGTGCAAATTTCGGCACAACACCGGCTGATCTGCTTACCTGAAAACCTCTTATTAATTAGTAGGATTTTAATCCAGTGCTGCGCTGATGTAGTTTAAGATTTTTAAACAACTGATATAAAGTTTAGATTTAAGAAAGTTAAAGGGATTGTTCACCTAAAAAGGAAAAATCTGTTATTTACTCCCCTCCAGCTTGTTCCAACCCTATATGCATTTATTTCATCTGTTGAACACAAGAGAAGATATTTTGAAGAAGAGAGCAGAGAGAGTAGAATACATACACATACGCTGAACAAAACACTGGCATTCCAGCGATGACTAATCTGAATGCCTTTGTTTGGCCATTGCATTCATAAACTCAACAAAATCGTGTGTGATTGATTATAATGTGCAACACTATGAAGACATGTAAATAGAAATATGATGCAACATTAGCAGATCTAAATTTAATACCGGAATCAACAGTTTTCAATTCATTTTAATTTTATTCGCGAGAGCCATAATATATAATTGTGCAGGGGCATTTTTGTCCCGAACCCCCGTTAATTTCTGACCCGTGGCCAGGGCAAAGCTAACCTTGCCCAGCCTTAAACAAGCTCTGCTTATGGTCTTTAACTTCGTCAGAGAGTCGTTCATAACTGCACGCGCAATACATAGCTGCTCCGTCGTTGACAGACGATAGAAGACAATTTTCATCAATGAATTATAGGTAAATCTCCACCTCATCCATCACTCTTTTTGTTCCGTTCTTATAAAATGTCCCCTTTACTATTGCGTTGTGAGAAACTGCTCTCCACTCACTAAATTCAACTAAATTGGGAACACTTTCAGACCTTTTTGACCATCTGACCAATTAGTTAAAAAGAGTGATTCATTTGCATATCTGGCACAACTAGTTCTGATTCTAAACAGCATATATAAAATAAAAAAATTTTTTTTTTTTATTTGACTTGATTGCTGAAATATTATCAGAGAAAAGGATTTTCAGGTTGGTATACGTCAATCCGACTGACACATAAGGATCATCAGTAATATTTTACTGGGGCTTTCATCCACACGCTTGTTTGGCAAAACAGTGTTTCTGTGACTTCATATGAGGTCCAGTGTTTGAAATAAATGTATCTCACCTTGACGTCTGTCAGAGATGACGCTCATCAGTATTTGTGACACACCCTTCACAGTCTCTGGATCTATAAAAGCTGGAAGCAGATCAACATATCCTGACTGACATCATACTAGTTTGCTACAGCACCATTATAGCACACTAGCACACAAAAAAGAAGACAACAGAAAAAGAAAGAAAGATGTCTGGCTCTTGTGACGCAACGCTGGATGGAACTTTCAATAAAACTGTTGAAAATATAAAATCACTTTATGCAAAAAGTGAAGGTAAGGAAAGAAAGAGAATTTACCTTTTGCCAGTTTTTCAGCAGTTATATTTGACTCACTATTTGATCGTTCCAGCTCAGGAAAATATTTTATTTTATTCTATTTGACTTTGATTTCTTGAAAATAAATTGAAAAGTTTTAATGCAATTGTGTTTTTGTGATGTCATCCCAATATTATTTATTCAAACAATTTCCTCTCACTTTGCAATATATGGATCTTGTGCTTGTTTTAAAGGGATGGTTGACTGGGTTTTTTCTAGGCTTGATTGTGTTTATGGGGTGCAGTCTAACATGTGTTAATGCTTCGTTTGTTAAAAAACGCATTATTTTTCACATAATTTACCTTTATTCCACACCGCTCTGTCCCTTCTCCTCTGAACGCGCTGATCATTTCCTGCTTTTATGAAGCCCCTCCCTCAGAAATACACGATGGGCTCTGATTGATTAGCTGGCCCAGTGTGTTGTGATTGGCTAAACCGCCTCTAGCACGCTCTAAATGTGCTCGGGTTGTATTGTAAACAATGACGTCGTCTATATTGCTTATCAATTTGAGCCCGATTGAGACGCAGAGGATATTATTGAAGAGGATCGTGCAGAACCTGTGCAAGCACGGCTTTTAATGGTAGGCCTA